ACAGTGACCAAGGAGGATAGAAGGAGAATTGATGCTTTTGAGCTTTGGTGTTGGAGAAGAGTGTTGAAGGTGCCATGGACTGCTAAGAGAACAAACAGATTCACTCTGGAGAGGGTTAAACCGGGCTGCTCCTTGGAGGCAAGGATTCTGAGCTTCATCTGGCATACTTTGGTCATGTTGTAAGGATAGACTGGTCCTTGGAGAGGGACATCATGCTTGGGAGGGTGGAGGGCAGGCACAGGAGGGGAAGGGCCTCTGGGAGGTGGATTGATTCGGTGACTGGGGCAATTGGGATGAGTGTGTCGGAGGCAATGAGATTGGCACAGGACAGAGCAGAGTTTAGAGCTGTTGTACATAGGGTTGCTATGAGTTGCAAACAACTTGACAACAACAACAGATTCAGATTTGCTTTGTTTTGCTATAACAAGATTCAAATGGTATGTTTTTGACAGAAATACTGTGCTGTTCTTAATACATAGCACATGCTGGTTCATCCTCAGTCACCCACTGAGGGTTCTTGCCCGAATCAGTTACTACAACAACGGTTTGTCTAGAAGTAGGTCTCTAGGTACAGAAAGGGCTAAAGTGAGATATATTTGCATTTCAGTAGAAGACTCAGTTTCCTGAGCACTCATTATTAGAACAGGTGTTTAGGCAGAGCTAAGGCGGTAGGAGACAGGGATATGATTCATGTGATGGTACAGGCTGAAGACTTGGCTGCATGTATCTGGTTAGGCTGTGAGTGGGTTGGGATGTTAACATGGCAAGGAAATCCTGTTGAGTGTAAAAAGGAAACCCACAGACTGGGAAAAATATTTGTCAATGACATATCTGTTAAGGGACTCATCTAAAATTTACAGAATCCTTTAGCACCTCAACAAGAAAAAGGTAAACGGCCCAGACACAAAATGGGCACAGGGTATGAATAGACACTTTACCAAAGAAGATACTCAGATGGCAAACAAATACATGAAGAAATGTTCAAAATCTAGCTATCAGAGAGATGCAAATAAAAACAATTATGAGATATCACCTCACCTCAGCAACAATAGCAGAGTTCAACAGAGCAGCAAACAACAAATGCTGGCGAGGCTGTGGAGTGTTTGGAACCCTTATTCACTACTGGTAGGATTATAAAATGGTACAACCACTATGTAAGGTGCTTTCTAAAAAAGTTGGAAATAGAAATACTATTGGACCCTGCAATTCTAGTACTGCGAATATACCATCTTTATAATATACCATGTTTATATAGCACACCATGTTTATTGCTACATTATTCACAATGGCAAAGAGATGGAAGCAACCCAAGTGCCCATCGACAAATGAATGACTAGAAAAACTACTATGGTGTTCACACAATGGAAGACTACTACACAGCACTGAAAAACAAGGGACTTGTAAAACATTACATAACTGGGGTGATCCTGGAGGACATTATACTGAATGAGGTATCACAATAGCAGATCCAGCATAATACTACTGTTATAAAACAGGACTGACAGGTGTGTTGGGGGAAATTGTGGATAGGTAATGAACACTGCATTGGAACAGAAGAAGGAAAGAACTGTTTAAAAAGAATAAGTACAGGCATTGTATATATGACAACAGTCCAGCATAAGAGGTGCATAGTGAAGTGGACTTGACGTGGGAGGAGAGAGAATATTCTGTAACAGTGAATGACTATTAAAAGTAAAGAGAGTTGTGGGTTGAGCTGAAAATCCTGTTGGGCTTCCACACACCATGTGTTCATGCAGCCAACAGTGGGGCAATAGAGGATGGGAGTCAGGGACAGTGGGAGCAGTACAGCTTCTTGCCTTGATCCCATCCATTTGGCCTGTTGTACTTCAGGGGTTTTTACAGCTGGTGCTCATTGGAGCCTGCTCCTGGTGCCCTGACTGTGTCACTTGTGGCAGCCTGCACGGGCTGTCATGTCCTGGGTCCATGGGGAATCAGGCCTCTGACAGAACTGCTTTTTTCCAGTGGGTGAATTTGTGAGTGACGTTCTGTTGGTCCCGGAGAAGTGCCAGTTTTTCCACAAGGAACGCATGGAGGTCTGTGAGAACCACCAGCACTGGCACAGCATGGTCAGGAAGGTAAGAGGAAGCTGAGAGCTAGGAAAGAAATTAGCGTTTTTCTTCCAGATTTCACTGTGCTTTTACCTTAAACTCCTCCCAGCCCCGTTTCTTCAGGGTTTACATATACATGTGTCTTCTGGGGTGTACACATTTGAGGGAGGAATAGATATTCTTCCAGAAGTCCAGGTTCCTAATGCAAGCTGTCTCTCCTGGACACTGTGTAATGCAAGAGGACCTGAGCTGAGAGTTGCATGCTAACAGCCCATCAGAGGGATAGAGGGTTCTGGGCTCACAGCAGCCAGCACCATGTGCTACTTCATTGTGGACAGAATGACCTGGTCTCACCTCTGGCTTAAGCTGTGTCTGTGGTCAGACTCTGAAGTAATACCAGCTCATAAGATGAATGTATATTTTCATCAGCCATCTGTAACTAGTGTTGCTAATCAGTAAAAGAAAATCCTTTTCCTTGATTTTCTCCAAATTTGTCCTTTCAGTGTTTTGTCCCAGATTGTGTTCCCCTATTGTAAACTAAGAAAATAAAAATAATAGCATCACAACTTTCTGGCAGGAAATTTGTATATTTAAGAGAATGTGTTTCAGAGTGATTTGGTGAGGGTTTCTGTGGGAGTGTTTGAGCACATTGGGCATTAAGGATGTTCTCAATGCTCCTTGGATGTCTTCCAGGCCTGCCTGGCCCAGGGAATGGCCTTGTATAGTTACGGCATGCTGCTGCCCTGTGGAGTGGACCAGTTCCATGGCACTGAGTATGTGTGCTGCCCTCAGACAAAGATCATTGAATCTGCTGTGTCAAAACAAGAGGAGGAAGAGGAAGAAGAGGATGATGATGAAGATGATGACTATGATATTTATAAAAGGTAAACTTCTGACCTGACTCATCTTGCCTGTTGTCAACCCTTATGTCTACATAGTGCTTGATGCTGGTTTCTTGCTTCTGAAGAGGGAAGCAGGTGTGCCTTGCTCATGCATCAATCCAGCTAGTTCGTCCTAGTTCTAGTTGCTCACAGACACCCAGGGCTCTCAGCTTGACGTTGCTCCGGGCCATGTTATTTTCCTTATCTCTTCCATTTTGCTGATGTGACTGAGTTGAGGGCTTTAGTGGCAGCTGAATATGAGCTGAAGTTATTTCCTGTCTCTATTTTTTTGTGTTTCAAAATAGCCAAGGGAATCATTGTTGGGCCATAGGAACTGGCATCACCCTTCCTTTTTTCTTTTCTTTTTTTTTTTAAATTGTGGTTTTTAGTGAATTTCCTACTGAAGCAGATTTGGAAGACTTCACAGAAGCAGCCGTTGATGAGGATGATGAGGATGGGGAGGAGGCTGTGGAAGACCGTGATTACTACTATGATACATTTAAAGGGGACGACTACAATGGGGAGAACCCCACTGAGCCCAGCAGCGATGGGATGATTTCAGAGAAGGAAATTGCTAACGATGTGAAAGGTAACTCACACTGAGCTGTGGCTTTAAAGTCCATGCAGTAGCGACCTACTTAGAACATGATACTTTATTTTTGTAGGTAAGTCACAGAAGGAAAGTGCTGGTTTCTGTGTACTGATTGTGAATTTCATGCTGGTGCATCAAACTTGTCTTAGCACTGGCAAGCACTCTCTAGGGAATCTGGCTGATAGAGCCAGGGAGAAGCAGAATTGAATCATTGTAAGGATTTGGTTGAGAACAGAGATGACACAGTAAGGGATGCTATAATCTTATCACCTCTTCCTCATTATCCTGAGATGTGCTCTCCTTAGTACTTCAAAGAATGAAAACACCTTTTTTCCCCCCTGACTGTGTTCTAAACTTGAGTCACCCTATTTGTGGATATGTAGTTGGGAGGGTGATATTTCATTCCCTTCTAGTAAGGAGTTGTGGTCAGCAATGCTTTCATCTTGTCAATTTTTTAAAAAATGGGATAGTTTCAACACCATATGCACAGTGTCCTGATTGAGTGTATGTTTGGGCCAATTAATGACTGAAGGAATTGTAGGACCCAACTTGGAGAAAATTGCCTGGTAAGTCTAGAATTCACCCTGGAGAAGATAAAAACAGAGTATTCCCTGTTTACAGTTCATCAAGTATGAATTAGTCTTGGCAGTAGGGGTCGTGGTACAGTAGCTTTCCACCCACGTTGTCCCCTTTTACACTGGAAACCACGAGACAGATCAGGAAAATTACATGTACAGGCATGCTGCTTAAGGGCCCGTCACTGTCTAGACACTGCACAGTGTAAGAAGATCCTCCCCTGTCTCTAAATGTCCTCTTCCACATCTTAATGGGCAGTGGCCAGTGCATCTGGATACTGCGTGCCATGGCCTTTTTGGTGTGAGGTCTGGCCCTTGCACTTCCTACTTGCCCATCCCACCCACCCTTTCACTGGTCTGTAGCATTCTGAAGCCCCTGCTGACCTTCTGACCATTTCCACACAGCTGTCTGCTCCCAGGAGGCGATGACGGGGCCCTGCCGGGCTGTGATGCCTCGTTGGTACTTCGACCTCTCCAAGGGAAAGTGCGTGCGCTTTATATATGGCGGCTGCGGAGGCAACAGGAACAATTTTGAGTCTGAGGATTATTGTATGGCTGTGTGTAAAACGATGAGTAAGTCCCGCCTTGCGCTGGCTCCGTGCAGCAGCCACTGTCCTGTCCAGCGTTCTGTCTCTAGGCTGTCTTCGTGACTGCATCTGTGTAGTGTCCCTGCTGACTTGGGCATTTGCTGTTTTGCCTCCCTGTGTGCTTTCTTGAGTGAGGCGAGGCTCTGTGGGTGGCTTTGTGGCCGGCTTCTGTGTCCCTGTTTGCATTGTTTGTTGCTGCAGGACCTCAGTCTTCTGGCCCCAGAACCTTTCAAGTTAGTTGAGTGCCCTCAGTAGTCTCTGGTTGAAAGGCACTAATGGGCAAGTAGGCCACAAGTCTGCACCTGCTAGATGCACACTGGCTGACAGAATTTCCTGTTTTTAAAGCCTTCACAGGAGTCATTTTAGGTGTCCAGAATGTTGAAATGTGTTGCTTTCTGTGTGCTGGTGAGATGGCTCTACAGCCATTTGGTGCCATTTCATTGTTTTCTGTGTTGATTTTTGCGGAGCTTGATTGTGCCAAGTTTAGAAGTGGGAGGAGCTTTTCTGTCACTTGAGAAATTCAGTGGTTCACTTCAGTGGTGTTGACAGGAGGCACAGGAATGGAGGCAGTTTTCCTTTCTCCCTAGGTACCTCCTTCTCATTTTATTTTCCTTCCCCTTACAGTCCATGTGTGTGTGTGAATCTTCAGGGTCCCCAGGCAGGCTCTTTTGGGTTCTGACTCTGGAATTCATTGGAACAGGAATTGCTGCCTGTTCCTGGTATTTATTCCAAAGATTTTGACTGTAGCTTCTAATGACTTTTCATTCAAACACTTTTGTGTTTCTTTTCCTCACCCTGCCAAAAGGCATTGTACATCTTAAGGTTGGGTCCCTTTAGCTGCTGATAGGTAGAAAAACTACTTTTATTTGGTGTAGTTGAAAAATCAAACTAAGGATTTAGGTAACTGGTGGCAAAACATAGTTTATTTAGAAAACATTTAATGATGAAAACACTTAGGAAGATGATGTTTACTCAAACTAAGATTCAACAAAACATTTTAAGTTGAATTCCAAAACTGAAACCCATGGCCACTTTATCAGTTCTGACTCACAGCAGCCCTTCATCAGATCCCCAAGGCTGTAACTCTTACTGAGAGGTGGTTGCCCATCAGTGGCCCACAGAACTGCTTGTATATTCAAACCATCGCCAAGCAACATAGCATGCTTGCATCTGCGCCACCAGGGCAGGTCCACATGATGAGGCTGCGGGCTTTTCTCCTGAGGAAGGTGCTCGGAGTTTGTATGTTGTTGGTCAAATATTCCATCCCAGTGTGCAGGCCTTCTTTATTGACAGCATTGAGTTTTGACACTTGTTTTCATCTGTGCTTTGAAATTTTTACTCACTTAACTCTTGAGTGTCTTTGGAATGTGGCTTGCTAAATCTAAATATAGTTTATATGAAATTGGCTATTGAGATCCTATTTAAACTTACATACTGATAGCCTCGTGGCAAGAAGCTACAGTCCAGAAGGCACGCGGTTCAAAGCCACCAGCTGCTCTGAGGGAGAAGGTGGGCAATCTCCCATGCAATTAACTGCCTCTGAAAACCCACCGAGTCAGCTTTGGGTCAGTTCTGACTCTATGGTACACAACAAGAAGAACAATGGTCAAATATTTCTCACAAAATTTTATCTTGACTTCTTGTTATTTTTAAGTGCCATTGAGTTGGTTCTGGCTTAGAGCAACCCCCTGTGCAAGAAAATGCAGCACCACCCAGCCCTGCCCCCTCCTCACAGCTGTCGCTGAGCTCAAGGTCACCGTGTCAGTCCATCTACAGGGTCTTCTTTATCACTCACCCTCTATTCTGTCAGACATGACGATGTTCTCCAGAGACTTCAGCAGATCACATGTACAAATGCTCCCGTCTGTGGAACATTCTGGCTATATTTCTACCAAGACATACTTGTTTGTTCTTCCTAAAGTCCATGGTATAATCAGTATTTCATGCCAGCACCTTGATATGCATTAATTCTTTTTAAGTCTTCCTTATTCATTGTCCAGCATTCACATGCATATAGTAATCGCTCAGGTTACTATAAACAAATTGTGGCTAATGTTGAGAAGAATGGGAATCCCAGAACACTTGATTGTGCTCATGCAAAACCTATACTTGGACCAGGATGCAGCCATCAGAAAAGAGCAAAGAAACAACATAATATTAAAAAATCAGAAAAGCAGTGCATCGGGCATGTGTCCTATCTCCATATCTTCTTAATTTGTATGCAGAACAGATCATTTGAGAGGCTGGACTTGAGGAGGAGGAATGTAGCATGAGGATGGGAGGAAGTTATCAATAACTTGCATTAAGCAAAATGGCATTGCTAAAATTGAGGAGGGCCTGAAACATTTGTTGCAGAGGTTCAAGAACTATAGTTGCAATATAGATGAAGCTCAACATCAAGAAAACAAAGATTTAGTGCAACAATGAATGAATGGAAATCCAAAATCTGTAAATGTTCATTAAAATTAATAAAATAAAAAAAGAAAACAAAGATTCTCACCACTGGGCTAATTGGCAGCCTCGTATAGATGGTGAAAAGATTGATATTGTTAACAGTTTTCACTTGCTCAGTTCCACAATCAGCATTCTGGGCACCAGCAATCAAAAGAAGAAATGAATTAGGAAAATTTGTCAGGGACCTTTTCAGAGTGTTGAAGAGTAAAGATGTCAGTCTAGGGACTAAGGTGTGTCTGATACAGGCCATAGTCTTTGCAATTAATTACTTGCTATACACCAGAGAGCGGACTAAGGATGACAGAAGAATTGATGCCTTGGAGTTGTGGTATTGGAGAAGAGTATTGAACATAGACTGTCAATAGAACTTAACAGGACTGTCCTGGAGAGGATCAAATCAAAGCTGCTCCTTGGAGGCAAGGGTTTTGAAGCTGTGTCTCACATTCTTTGGTCATGTTGCCAGAAGAGACCAGTTTTGGGAGAAGGACATCATGCTTTCAAGGTTTGAGGGACAGCGCCTGAAGGGAAGTCCCTGAATGAGATGTATTGACTTAATTACTGGGGTAATAAGGGTAGATGTATCAGAGACAGTGAGAATGGCTTAAGATAGAGCAGGGTTCAGAGCTTTTATGCACAAGGTGGCTGTGAGTGTTGTTGACTCGACAGCACATAATAGCAACAACACTCAATGAAGGATAATAAAGAACCAGACACTTTTTAACAGGGTCACAGGGAGTGAGAACTGATTCAGTGGCACCTAACTACAGAAACAAATAAGTTGCTGAGGAATCTCTAGTTTACTAATTTATAGCTTTGTTGAATACATTGTTTTGAAATTTTAGAAACTAGATTAATTTGTTTCTAAATTAAAATTAGCTTGATTTTTGGCATTAGTTTTCTGCTTAACTTTGAAATTCTGTCAAATGTAGTAATTTATACATGTAAGTTAGATGTTACTCCTCCAGCGTGGGAAATCATTAATAATTTAGGTTAATAAGAATTACCATAAGTACTCCTTAAGACTAAGTAAGCCATCTCAGTTTTTTCCTTTAGGATGTTAAACTTCACTGTGCATTTGCCAGGAGTAATAATTGTTTATGCAGTGAGCCATGGGGAGTGTTTCTTTTTCATGAATTTTATTCTCTTTTTATGGAATTGGGAAGGCCAGTCTGGGTAATGGAAGCACCTTCATGTAGGCCGAGTTTGCTTTATAAAATAAAACTCCTCAGTCTGATGAGCTTGCTGGGGTGGCAGAGTCCGCAGGGAGTTGCACTATGAGCCCCAAGGCCTCACCTCTTGAGAGTTTGATTCTACCACTGGCTCTGTAGGAGAAAGATGAGCAATTTCTTCCCATGGGACTTACAGCCTCTAAACTCAGCTATGAGTTGGTTCTGACACCACCCCATTCATGTTTGGGTTACAGTTTGGTTTTTTTATTGATGGCAGGGCCAGGGGTCCCTTGGTGATAATGAAAACTAATTTACAGCTAGAGTGGCTTCAAATGTCTGCTTAGCCTGTAAGCAAAGAATCTGCTTGCATTGAACCGGTTTTAGTACATTATGACTTAAAACTAGCCAGGTGAAAGGAGCTTGTAGGAACTGGAAAACTTGTTAAGAGGCCCTAACCATGGTGTAGTTTCAGCCCTTGTCTGGATCCGGATGCTTCAATGACAAGGTGCTTTTACACAATTGAAAAGGTGTAGAGAAAGTTATTCCTGTATTTTGTCCTGATGTTCTAAGTGGATGGCTCTCTAACTGGTGCTGAAGTTAGCACATGGTTGACTTAAAAGAAATTGCTTAAATTGATGTATCAGCATGAACTGACATGACAGATATGTATTATGAAAGGATCATTCCCCACTTTGGTTTAATAGAGGAGAGTTTTGGCAGATAGTGGCACCCCGTACTTTGGTATGATACAGGACAAGTGAGTCATTTTGCAGGTCCTGTGCCCTGTTTTCTTTTTGGGCACAGGTATAGTTTTATCATTGTGCCTGCGCCTCAAGGAAAAAACCGGGTTTTTTGTTTTAGTGCCCCCAACTCCTCTGCCAACCAATGATGTCGACGTGTATTTTGAGACCTCCGCGGATGACAATGAGCATGCCCGCTTCCAGAAGGCAAAGGAGCAGCTGGAAATTCGGCACCGAAACCGCATGGACAGGGTAATGCCGACATCCTTTTGTCTCGGGGTATTTATCGTTGAATAACCTGATTTTCCCTGCTGGAGCAAAGTGGCTCCATCTCCTTCACATACTTGCTAGCTGTGTAAGGGAAGGGAAGGTTGAGGAATTCTTTCTCCCTTTCTCAATCTTTTCCCCCTGAGTGGTGTAATTAATATTGGATTACTTAATCACCTTTCAGATATGCTGCTGGCTTACTTCTGTACCTGTTACATACTCAGTGCTTTCTTTGTCACTTGAGCAACCTTTGTTAAATTATTTCTCAGTGGTGACTCCGTGTGTCATAGAGAACTGTGCTCTTTACTTTTTAAAAATTGAGTGTCTGTAAATAGAAAGTATCATTTGCCATAGCAGAAGGTAATTTAAAAAATACTTTAGGTGAAAACAAGTGTATTAATTCTACTCAACTAGTGTTGCCTGGTAAGGCTTCTAGTCTCAGTCAGGGGTGTATTCTCTTCTTTGAAAAGGCCTTGTAAGTAGTAGAGAAGTGCCAGCCATGAGAGAACCAATGTTGGGCTTTCTCTGTGTTTAGAAGTGGTGATGGAAAGCTAGAAGGTGTTATTTAATCCTCAGCATGAGTACCACCTGAAATCCCACATGTCATCCATGGTATACCAGTAGTTTGGGAAATGCCCCTTATTTTATCCACATCAATTTTGGGAAATATCTAATGAGTCTGTTATTTTGATGAAGCACAAAGATGCAGTTTTTTGAAGAATTCAAGGTTATATGAGCAGGCCATGGGGTTGGGGTTCCTTTTGGGCCCTCAAGGAGACCCAGGGCCTTCTAACACAGTCATTCCATAAATGAGCTGAAGCTGCCCTGGCTTCTTGTAGGGTGTGTGTGATACCATTTTAAAGGTTTCTACATTTCATCCAGAGTCTGGCAATATTTTAGGAAACTAAGGTGTGTTATAGTGGACTTTGTTGTTTCTTTGCTTGTTTTTTATTATATTTTTGTTTTGTTGGTTTTGAGAATCTGATTTTCTTTTTTCTTTTCTTTTTTTTTTAAACCTTTGTTTTAGGTAAAGAAGGAATGGGAAGAGGCTGAGCTTCAAGCTAAAAACCTTCCCAAAGCAGAGAGACAGACTCTGATTCAGGTAAGATGCAGTCTATGAGGATAAATCTTCCAGTCTGACGAGTTAAAAACATGATTAGTGCTAAACCCACAGGAAATTAGAAATTGACACCTTTTATTTGAGTGCAGTGTTACAAGGACTTTGTAAACTGGCCTACTTTTTGTCTTTTCATTTCCTAACTGGCATTCTTTAGCATTTTTCGTCAATGTAGATGAGACAAAGCATTGCTAATTCCTGCCAGGAAATAATCTTAGTTTGGCTACATTGATTAATCCCACCCTCCTGGCAGAAGCCTTCTACTCTCAATTTTCTTTCCTCTTGTTTTTCAGTAGGACAGAGAGAGAGAGAGAGAGTGTGTGTGTGTGTGTGCGTGCGCGCGTGAGCTTAGTAAAAAGCCAATAAGCAGAAAATACAGATATCTGATACATGTTTGTCTCTAATTTTGTAAGCATGTTACTTTAAAACCATAGTGGCAATTTGCAGTCCTTTTGTCTAGAAGAGAGTGTTGACAGAGCAGAGCTGGCGCTTACTAGTTGAGACTCTTAAACAATTTACATTTAATATCAATTTGTTAGTATTTTTGCTTTGCTGAAATGTCTCTTCTGATATTAATACGTCATTGGGAGACCTTTGTTTTTCACCATTCACTTAGACATTCCATTTTGAAAGTAGTTTTCACTTTTGTGTAAGTTAACATGTGGCCTTAGCAACACTCGCATTGTCCAGGTAGGACATAGATAACTTGCTTTCCAGGACATGAATGTGAAGCCACCTCGGACCCTCCTGGGAGAGATTTCAGAACATGCACTTGTTGATTAGGGGTTTCATGATGCAGAAGACAATGTAGTGTCAGAAAGTGAAAAGGACAGTATTCCTGTCACTGCCAGGCCTTAGCTTGCAGCATTAGTTGTTTCCATTCCAACTTCTGAGACTCTGCTCTAACTTGCTCCCTTTCCATAAGGAAGTAATTATCCCGACAGATACCAGATCATGTGTGCTGTGATCTTGACGCCTGTGCCCACTCTTTGAATGTCTTGTGCCCCTGCTTGAGCAACATCAAGGTGTGACTTGCTTAGCCTTCCTCCGATTGCCATGAATGACATGCTGCTTCTCTCCTGGTTTAGCACTTCCAAGCTATGGTTAAAGCCTTAGAGAAGGAATCAGCTAGTGAGAAGCAGCAGCTGGTGGAAACTCACCTGGCCCGGGTCGAGGCGATGCTGAATGACCGCCGCCGTGTGGCCCTGGAGAACTACCTGGCTGCTCTGCAGTCCGACCCCCCACGGGTGAGCCATATTCAGAGCTGACTTGTTGATGAGCCACTTTCCGGCACTGCCTGCCTGAAGCTGTGTCTATTTATGAAAACAGTGCTTGTCACACTACTTTGTATAAGTTGTATTTTCATGATTGGTTCTGGCAGTGTTGGTGGTAAGGGAAGAGGCTTAGAGGAAGCAGTATTGTTTTGGTCTAGTGTGTATTTATTATATAAACTTAACACTACATTGTTGTACACCTAAACACACGACCTATTAGGTGGAAATATCAAACGTTGACATTTTGGTTGGTAATTACACAGTCATTATGTGAGAATAAAATTTCACTTTCCATAGATGAAGGCGTTGAACTAGTGCCATTCTAAATAAAATTAAAAAGGTTAATGTAGTTCAATTAAAACTTTCTGTGCTGGTGGTCACAAACCTTTTTTTAATCCCTTCAACCTCAGCATTCCTTGCTTTGGGAGGTGAGAAAATACACAAAAAGACTTCCATTAAGTCAGTTAGTCAGGTCTCTTGTGGATGATAGAGATGCCTTTGGTTAAAAGTTCAACTAGGAAAAGAGGACAGAAGAGCAGAACACAGAATACTGTTTGTTGAGGAGCCCATATAGTTTTACAGCTTAGCTTTTTCTAAACTAGAAAGATTTTCTTGTAACTTGGTAAGCTAAGAAGATGTAAAGGTAGAGCTTTCACATTAGTGCCTAGATAAACTACTTCTCTTAAGTGGGTTTTTAAAATACCGTTTTCCTGCTTGTTTTGACTCTAGTCTGGGTATTGACACAGCCATGCTCTCTCTGCAGCCTCACCGCATCCTACAGGCCCTGCGGCGTTATGTCCGTGCCGAGAACAAGGACCGCCTGCATACCATCCGGCACTATCAGCACGTGCTGGCTGTTGACCCAGAGAAGGCAGCCCAAATGAAGTCCCAGGTAGCAGCAGCATCAGGAATGCGGCTCCAGGGGGGTTCACTGCTGGCAGCACAGTGCTGCAAGTTGTATTGTTCCTTAAAAAATGAGTTTTGGTTTCCAAAGGCATTTGGCACCTGAGCTGGTCCTGTTGTTGTTATGTGCCGTCAAGTCGCTTGTGACTCATAGCAACCTATCCTGTGCCAACTTTACGGTCTCTGACACACCTATCCTTATTACCTTATTTACTGAATCACTTCATCTCATGGAGGGTCTTCCTCTCCTGTGTTAACCCTCCACCCTTTCAAGCGCGATGTCCCTTTCCAAGGACTGGTCCTTCCTTGCAACATGCCCAGAGTATGTCAGATGAAGCCTCAGAATCCTTAACTCAAAGGAGCAACATAGCTTCACCCTCTCTAGGATGAACCTGTTTGTTCTCCTGGCAGTCCATGGTATATTCAGCACTCTTCTCCAGCACCACAGCTCAAATGCATCAGTTCTCTTTCTATCATCCCTAGTCATTGCCCAGCTCTCTGACACATAGCAAGCAATTGAGAAGACTGTGGCCTGGATCAGGAACACCTTAGTCTCCAGACCAACATCATTGCTCTTCAGTTCTCTGGAGAGGTTTCCGACAGCAGACTTTCCCCAGTAAAATTTGTCTATTGATTTTCTGACTCCTAGTACCAGGAGTGTTGATTGTGGAGCCTAGCAAAGTAAAGCTGTTAACAATATCAGTCTCTTCACCATCTATCATAATGCTGCCAATTGGCCATTGGTCAGAATCTTTGTTTTCTTGATTTTGAACATCAGTTCCTATTGAAAGCTATAGTCCTTGACCTTCTGCTGCTACTATATTTTCAAAATATCTTTTCCATTCTTTTCTGTAGCACATACTTTATACTTAGGAATCTCTAGACAGTGCACAGTTAAGTATTCAACTTCTGAGAGAAAGGTTAGCAGGCCGGCCTGGTGACCTGCTTCCAACAGGTCAAGGTTTCAAAACATGGCAGAACACAGCTCTGCTGTGATGTGAGTCAGTCAGCACTGTGACAATAGCATCACCTTCTACTTACTATGTCTGAGTGTGGGAATGCATCATTATGTGGAAAAAGTGCATCATTAAACTGGTCTACATTTATATCAGTTCTGACTTAGTGTACTACCAGAAGAAATACTTAAAATTTATTTCTAGGAAACATTATCAAGCAGATCTTTAACATTAATGCCTTCATCTTTTGTGTCTTTGCTGAGAAAATGTTATGTTCCTGGCTTGTATCCCCTGTTGAGTCCAGCTTTATTTGACAATCATCTATAGATGGTTGTTTCCAGTCCTTTTCAAGTTTTAGTACTGTCCCTTTGTTACCTTGACTTTTGCTCTTTCGTATCACCTGTGCTGGCATAGGCCAAAGCATGATGTGCTGCTCATCTAGAGGAATAAGCACAGCAGGCTTCTTGGGAGCAGGAACAATGTGGACAGTGGCTGGGTCTTAGGTTTCCAAAAGGTACAGTGTATAAGCCTGGAGGGGGCAGCTTGGTTTTAAGCAGAATGTTACAAAGGAGAGGTGGAGTTGGCTAGGATTCAGAGCAATGCTATGGATAGCAGATCTGAACCCTGCCCCATCCTTCACTTCCTCACCAAGCCTATTGTTACAGTAACTATCAGTTCATCTTATTGAAGATCTTCCTCTCTCTGACCCTTCACCTTTCCCAACATGTCTTTCTAAAGACTAGCCCCTCCTAACAACGTGCACAAAGTATTTGAGGTGTACATTTCAACCGTCCTGGCCTGTAAGGAGTGGTCTGTTTGCACTTTTTCCCACACAGACTTGTTTGTTGTTTCAGCATTCCATGTTATATTCAGTACTCTTCTGCAGCACCACAATTCAGAGGCATCAGTTCTTTGTCATCCTTATTCATTGATAATTTTCAAATGCATAGAAATTAATTGAAAGTGTCATGGCTTGAATCAGTGCACCTTAGTCTTTAAACACAATGTTCTTGCTCTTTAGCACTTTAGAGAGAGGTCTTTGACAGCAGTTTTTCTCAGTGTAACAATTCTTCTGATTTCTTGACAGCTACTGTCAGGGATGATGATTGTGTAAAATGAAGTCACAGACAGTTTTTAATCTTTTCTCCTGTCAAATTATTGCCAAATGGTCAAGTCGTGAGGATTTTTGTTAATGTTGAGATTTAATCTGAATTAAAGGCTGTAGTCTTTGTTTTTCTGCAGTGCTACAGGTCTTTTCATTTTAAGCAGGCAAGTTTGTATCTGTACAAGTTATTATTAAATTTCTCTCCAATTGTGATAGAGGATTGTATTTGCCAAATAATTTGCTCAGTGTATAGATTGAATAGGTACAGAGAACAGTCCTGACACACAGCTTTCCTAACTCCAGTGTACCCTTGTTCTGTTCTGACAGCTGCTTATAGATAGATAGATAGATAGATAGATAGATAGATAGATAGATAGATAGATAGATATGCATGCATGAGCACATTAAGTGTTGTGAGATTCTCATTCTCATTCTTCTCATTCTTCACAATGTTAGCCATGAATTGTTATGAACCACACAGTCAAATGCTTCTGTATAGTCAGTGTTAAGCCTTCTGGTGTATCTTAACTCCTCACTGCAGTTGAGTTGTTGGCCCTCCAGTGGATTCAAGGAGGCTGTAAATCACACAGGAGAAGCTTGCCTTTATTTCTTCCATGGAGCTGCTGGTGGATTTGAATTGCCAGAGAGGCACTACCTTTGGGTTAGCAGTGCAGCTTCCTACCTGCTAGGCAACCAGAGTGGAAAGAAAAAGGTTTTCGTTCTAAAGTAGCTTTCAGGAAACTTGAATGAAAATATGTATGTATCTTTATAGGAGTTAGCATTTTCTGTTCTGTTTTTCTTTTTTAACCAAACCTTTTTCATGCTTTTGGTTGAAGGACAAGGTTACTGTGTTCTATTTAAAGAAAAAAAAATCACCTAATTTTTTATGGTGAAGGAAAAAGGAGGGGGACAGATTTGATCTGTTAGATCCACAGGTGCCACACCAGGGAATATGGGAGGTGGACCCACCCCCCTGAAGAGTCTCCAGAGAGGAAACACAGCTCAGCCGCATTATAGTCACGTCTGCTGGTGAAGCGTGGCTATTGAATACCCAACTTTTGCCTCTTCTCCCTTTTGTTATGTTCATTCTAGAAAAACTAGATCATTTTTATCCTCTTCTCATGTAGGATATTTGGTTGGCTAGGACTTGTTACCCACCTCCCCGCATAATAGCCCATGGGTTGACCATGAAGATACTAATTGATAGTATTTCACCCTGTGGCTCTTTTTATGTATGCACCATCCTCTCAAATCACTCTTTTAATTCCTCTGAAAAAACATGTCAGTGTAACATGTGGTTAAACAATCACAGTGGAAACCTTTGAAGGTCAGAGAGACATCAAAGCCTCTTTCTGTTTACATGTTTCCATTCTGAACCCTGACCATGTCATGACTTCAAGCCTGTGTGATTAACTCCATTGGTTTTAGAACGCCCTCTTTAGGAAACGTTCAGTGGCTGCAAGCCTGTCCAGTCAGGAATAGCTTTGTTCTGGTATCACTAGTCTGAGATACAGAGACATTCCTCTGCTGGGGTAGACATTTCTTTCTCAGTGAACCTTCTGGTGTCCTCTTAAACAGCTTTAAAAATAAGTGACAAGCTGTTGCTGTGTGCATCATGTCAATGCCGATGGCTACCCTGCAGGATAAAATGGCCATCATCTTTGTAGCAGACACTGGTGGGTCCAGATCTGGCCTTTCTGTTAGTGCATTTATGCTCTGCCACCCAGTCTCCTCAAGTCACCAGTCATGCTTGGGGTTTTTTGTTTTGTTTTAAGAGGAACACCCTTTAAGATGTGTTAAGACAGTTGTTACCATGGATTTAAAATTGGGTTTACAAGTTATACCTCAGAGTTTTTTTAAAGAATTATTTGTTTAGGTAAATATAAGTAAGTTGCTATTCACCAAAGCCATTTTCAGTTGGTGCTTCATTAGGTAAGATACACAAATGCGCCTCTCCTTCAGCCTACTTTTTAACAAATTATTTCTTCTACTTTTTACCCAGTCTCCTGCCATGCAATTTACCGTCTCTGAAAACCTGCAAAAGGGTCAAGAACACTCTTACAAGTGCTCTGGTTACCTAGTCTATAGGGAGTTGTGCTGCTTACTCAGAGGCAGTTCTGAGTCCGCAAGGGCTCCCTGGGAGAGAGGTGGGTGGTATCCTCGCTCAGGTCTGACAAGTGGTAGAAATTGACCAAACCCTCCCTCTTTTAGGAAAACTCTATTGTCTGACATTGACAGTCTAGAATTGTTTTACAGAATTTGACAGTTAGTAAATGCCTCATGAAAAACAAAAGGTAAAAAACTCATTTGTGGTTTTTGGGTGGTTTTTTTTCCTCTTTCCATTTTTCCTTTAGCTTGAGGCCTTCTATGATCTGTACCAGGTCACCAAGGCCATCTGAGCACATTGTTAGAGTTTAGTGGTCAGTAAACATGGTGTGGGGAATAACACATAGTATCCTATTTCTGACCAGCTGCTCTGCTGGACTTTGTGGAAATACACATTGTTGGCTGCTCTGTTAGTGTGTTGGCTATGCTATTTTCAGGTGCCCTCTGTGCTGGCCTGGCCACAGCAGTGATGAGACTTTTTCCCAACTCTGCTTCCAGGTCATGACACATCTCCACGTGATTGAAGAAAGACGGAACCAAAGCCTCTCTCTGCTCTACAAAGTTCCCTACGTAGCTCAAGAGATTCAGGAAGAAATTGGTGGGTGCCCTATTGGACAGGACTTCTCATGCAGGTGGAGCAGGAACAGCAGTGTAAGATTAGAGGAAAGGGGGACGAGTGAAGCTTTCTAAGGTAGGGCCTTCTCAGGCTACCATTTCAGAAGTGTGGAATTACACAGCTTGTACACAAGTACCTAGGGTAAATGTCCTGGTGATGCGCCACACAGCCTTGTTACAATGTAGGATGTGAAGTTGTAAGAGCCTGGGAAATTGCCTGTTACCATTTATTTCCCTTAATTCCTGATGGATTTCAATATCCAGTATTCTACACACATTTTTATTTCTTCTGCCTTTGTTGATGTTCATCTTCATTTGCCCATCCGATCTTTGTTGTGTCTTTTGTACACCACACTAAAATGGGAAGCAAGCAGACACTATCTATGGAACTGATATTATAGTAGAGGGGACAGTCAGGAAATCAAGTATCAGATGGTGACAGGTGCTATGCAGGGAATCATAAATAGGATGAGATGATGGGAGGTGGCTAGTTAGGGAGCTGCCCTTGGGGAGTGATAATCCAGGAACCGACTGGTGGCCAGCAGCCACTCATGCAGAAATCACAGCGGAAGCAGCACTTAGCAAAGGAAGCGACCTCTGCAAAGGGCAATGTTGAAATAGCACTGCTGTTTTTGAGTAGCTCAGTGTGACTAGAACAGAATGGGGAAGATAAGGCCAAAGAAATCGAGACCAATTTGTGGAAAGATCGAAAAAATATCAAGAAATTTAGAATTTATTCTCAGCTAATGAGAAGTCATTAGAGGATTTCAAGCTAGGAAGTGACAAGAACTTTAAAGAATCGCTTGGCTGCTGTTTGGAGAGTTGATTTCATTTGGCCATCAGTTATGAGGTGATCTAAAAGTCCAGGAGAGATGGGATGGCAGGGTGGCAGAGAAGTCACAGAGCTTTGAGTGGTCTTAAGGGAGCTCCAGAGGAGAAGGAGCATCATGTGTGAAGCCAATTGGATGCAGGAGAGGAGAGGACAGTACTTGCGGTCATATTGAACGTCCAAATGGATATAGGTGCCAAACTTGTACTGCGGTTTGGGAAGGAAATGTATTTTCACGTTAAATAAAGTGCATAAAGTGCTGTTGAACGTTAAGTAGAGGTGGGAAGGATGGGCAGCAGGAACAAATCCAAGTTTGGATTTCATGGTAAATGGATAGTAAACCATGTAATTAAAATGTGTAGATGAGAAGAGGGATGTCATGAATTGAACTGTATCCCACCAAAAAATAGGGGTCAACTTAGCAAGGCCATGTGGTCGCTCCATTTTGTGTAAATCCTCTGTACCTGTAGTTATGGTCCATTATGATAATAAGATAGGATTAGGTCATGTTAATGAACATTCACTTATGTTTGTTAAGGTAATGAAGGAGGATTAGGGTGAAATATATCCTGAACCACTGCCTTATTAGAGCTAAAAGCAAAGAGAAGACAATAGAGAAGGCAAGACCTCATCACCACAAAAAAAAAACCAAAAACCCACCCCAGGAAGTCCAGCCTGGATCATGGCCATTGGACGCAGGTTCCTTCCAAGCAGATCCTCCTGTACCAGGAGAAGGTGATGCCTGGATGCTTGGAGAGTGCCAGTTACCCATAGAGGTGCATGGAGACCAGGGCATGTCCCTAGCTATCACCTTGAGTTTGGACTGCTAGCCTCAGAAACCGAATGAATGAGTGAATGTCTGTTAAAGCTATCCCCTTTCTACAACCAGGAGAGGATAAAATAGATGAATGGGACCTTCTAAGAATCAAATCCTTATGCACATCCAGAAACTTCTCCAACAGGGTAAAAAGGGAAGCCACAGACTGGGAAAAAATATTTGGTAATTACATGTCAGATAAGGAACTTATATCTATAATTTATAAAATATTCAAGTACCTCAACAATATAAAGGTAAATAACCCTGTTGAAAAATGAGCATAGGATATGAACAGACACTTCACCAAAAAAGACATTCAGATGGCAAACAAACACATGAAGAAATGTTCAAAATCCCTAGCTCTAAGAGAAATGCAAATCAAATCAAAACACCCCAGTAAGAATAGCGAAATTTAACAAGAACAGCAAACATCAAATACAGACGAGGCTGCAGAGAAACTGGAACCCTGATTCACTTTTGTTGGGAGTGTAAAATGGTGCAACCACTATGGAAGGCTGTATGGCACTTTCTCAAAAAGTTGCAAATAGAAATACCATTTGGCCCAACAGTTCCATTGCTGAGAATTTACCCTAAAGAAACCATAACCGCCACCCAAGCAGTTACATGCACATCCATGTTGATTGCTGCTCTGTTCACAATAGCAAAGAGCTGGAAACAACCCAAGTGCCTATCAACAAGTGAATGGATAGACAAGCTCTGGTATATTCACACAATGGAATACTATGCAGCATTGAAAAACAAGGAACTCATAAAATACTATGCAAAATGGATGACCCTAGAGGACATGATGCTGAATGAAATATCTCAGTCACAAAAGGACAAGTATTGCATAGGTCCTTTATTATAAAACAGGACTTTTAGTCACTGTGAAGGGAGTGCGGGCCAAACATTCACTTGCCTCTAGATTACCTTGTGTTCTTCTCACACTTTGAATGCCCTTCCTTGGGGGATTTCTTCATGTTATAGTGAAGGCCTTTCCTTAGAACTGGAGAAAGTAGAGCAAGGAAATGGCACCATTGTTCCTGAAGAACATGATCGTCCTTTTCAGCAGGAAGTGTGGGCTTTGCTGAATGTTGCTCAGAAGAAACTCTACAGGGATGTGATGATGGGGAAACTGCAAAATTTGGACTTCTTAGACGTCAACATTGCGTGTCAAAGAAGATGTAGAAAATAACCAAGAAGAGTCTTTGAGACATGCAAGAATACATATCACAGAGAAACCCAATGAAAGTAAAGAATGTGACAAGGCCTTTTCTCAATCACTTCAGATCACTGCATATGGAAGAAATCACACAGCAGAGAAACCTTATGAATGTTTGTTCCCTTTGGTATAGGTATCCTTAACAGTTTTACTGCACACCTGAACCCTGAACCCAGTTCCAGAGACAAAAGGAAAATATAACTGTCAGCTAAGGAAGAGAAGGAGGATAGAGCCTCAAGGTTCAGCCAGACATCCCCACTGGACCCACCTTGACAAACAACTTTGCAGTCCAGAGGGCAATAGATGTCAGGAAAATACCCTCTAACAGAACAAGAAGGCAAGCATTTTCAACTCAGCACCAATAGTAAGGTGTTAAAGTGGGCTCCCCTTCCCGCTTTCCCTTTCATCTCAGTACCCCTTCCAGCATCAAAAAGCCAGAGAGTCTGTGCCCCATTTCCAAATGAGAAACCCACAAGTGAATAAGACAATTTCTTTGTTAAAAAAAATTAATCACCATTGGTCTATGCTCACCGTTACCCTGTCTTTTCTAGTCCCCACTAGATCTTTCTCATTTCCTTCGCCTGTTCCCCTTGCCCACCAAATTGTGTAACCCTGAAATTTCATCCCTGCCCATCCTCACCCTTTTGCTCCCAACCCTCATTGTATCTCCATACATGTTTTTCACAATAAATTAAAAATAAAATTGTTTATTGAAAAAAACAGGACTGACATTGGGGTTCAGGGAAGACAGTGAGGTAAGGGAGGAATGGTGTATACTGCATTGAAACAGATGAGGGAGAGAACTGTTTAAAAGGGGTATATGAATGGGTATTCTTGTCATTACAGAAGTCCAGAATGAAGGCTGCACAGTGGAGTAGACTTGGAGGGGGAGTGATTGCATAACAATGAAAGCTTTTCTACTTTTCAAGGAGAACAGTGAATTGGGTGGGAAGGGGTGGGCAGGGAGAAAAGTTCAACAATGAATGACTGGAAACCCCAAGTCTCTGTAAACTTTCATTAAAATTAATTTAAAAAATAATGCAATTAAAAAAACCCTATTCCCTTGTGGTATTCTCCGATGTAGTAGCACTCGGTACCTTGGACATGGTGGAGATGCCCAGGTGAGCCCTGACATCCCTGTGTGTTGCTGCAGAATCAGGGAGAGGTGTTAAGAAGAGGAAGGTACCGTCCTCTGTGCCCAGTGCCCCCTCGACAGATTACCTTTGACCTGAGTGAACCACTTGGAGACAGGTGGGGCCTATACCTGGAGATGAGGTGGTTCTGACAGCCTGCTTTCCTGCTGTGTCTCTGACAGATGAGCTGCTTCAGGAGCAGCGGGCTGACATGGACCAATTCAGTGCCTCTATCTCTGAGACTCCTGTGGATGTGCGGGTGAGCTCCGAAGAAAGCGATGAAACTCTGCCATTCCACCCTTTCCACCCCTTCCCATCCTTACCTGAGAGCGAAGGTGTGTATGATGACAGTGTGGCATCCCGGTGGGGGTGGGGGGGATTAGATGTGTGCCAGGACTGGGCCGCTTATAAAGAGCTGGCACAGCAGTCTCTCTCTTGTTTTATAGATGGGTTACTTAAAGCTCATTTTTTTTTGCCCTAGCCTTTACCAGCTTGCATCATGCCTTATGGTTCATGGTTTAAATAGCATTTTCATTTTCTTTTGTGTCATCTTCTTTAACATAACCTAGGGAGGTAGGGAATGGAGAAGTTAAGAACACAAATTAAAAAAAAAAGAAAACAATGAAAAAAAAAAAGAAAAATTAGAAAGAAAAAAAAGAACACAAATGACTCATGCAGGCCACTTCTCTATCAGAAGGTTGGTCCTCTAGTCAAGCATTCTTTCCCTCTCTTTCCATATCTAAAAGTATCTCTAAAAGCTGTGAGTTCACCAAAAATAAACACGCTGCTGAGAGGAGGGCCAGAAGACCAGCACCCACAGTCAGAGCCTTTTCCGCCTGCTGCCCCGGATGGAGCAGTGATTTTAAAAAGGCACACAGCTATAAGTGCCTTGTGTGGCTTGTGTGCCCGCTTTAGCTCAGTTTTTACCAAGTATGCTTTCTGTCTGTGGCCCTTTGATGGGCCACAGGACACCACACCATCTACATGTTCCTCCCTGGGGTTTATTGGAGGCATTCTGCAAACTGGAAGTCAGTCCTTCAAATCCATCAGCTGCTCCTCGAAAGAAAGAAGGGCAGTCCTCCTCCCATAACACCTCAGAAACCTTGCGTTGGTCTGCTGTGAATTGGATCATCAGCAATGGATTAATGGAATTAGTTAGATGGCTACCTTCCTCTAAGGGTGTACGAAGCATCAGAAAGCGATCAGTGTGGCTGGAATGGAAGAAAGAGCAGGTGCCACAGATCATATAGATGATGCACCCCAGAGGTGGGAATTTACTGAAATTTTCCCCCCTCTGGCATTTTCCGTAAGATAAGCCTTATATTTCCAGGGTTTGGTGCAGCATTTAGAAGTTGTCTGTCTTTTGTTGTTTGTATGTTCACACAGATAATCATATTTTCAGCTGCCCTAAACCGGATGCCTCTGTCAAGGATGATGCAGAGTCCAGAGGAACATAATGTGTCCCATTTCATTTTACCTCCAGAGTTCAAGGACCCATGTCTCCTGCATAATGTGTGTTAAAACCACATTTTGTAAAAAAGTTTTGGAAATGTTCCTTGATTCAGTGTGATTTCTTTTAATAAAAACATAGGCTATCAATAAAAAATTCATAGCAGAATATAATTAGATCATGAAAGGGTTCATTTAAAAAAAAAAACAAAAACAAACCCACACCAAAAACATTAACTTCTCAGTATAGAGAAGTGACTTTTGTGTGAGGAGACTGGATGGGTTCATGGGCACTTTGGGGCACAGTGCCTTGGCCAGCTAGGTGCCTGATGGAGGCCTGGAATGGACATGCATTGGGCATGTTCGGTCTTCCCTTCAGGTTGGAGCACAAATACCACCTAGGCCAATTCCCTTAGCAGTTTGGCTCAGTGCAAGGACCCTCTAATAATATAAGTGGGGTCTGAAAGTAAAGATTTACCATTCTGTTTCTGAAGCCTGTTCTTCAAACCAGGACCCTCCATGAGCCACCAGCCATCTGTTCATAGAGACATCTGTATGTGCCTGACTGGGCTGGAGGCAGCCAGGCTGTCCTGTACTGGGCCCTCTAGTGCTTGCTCACAAGCCCGGGCAAGGGCAGCTTCAGTAGTTGTTATTTTCTACAACAAATAGCAGGCTATGAGAAATGATTTGGGAACCTCCAAAAATGTCCCTGAAAAGTTTCAGGACAGACTTTTTGCATCTTCCCAGTAGCTGTCTTCAGGCCTCACTTCTGTCTCTCTGGGGTTCCTCAGGCTGTTAAGAAAGAACACTTTTTGTTCAGATTGTAGAGAAATTCTGAAAGAAATTTTGAAGGAAGCCATTTTCTTTCTTAATCTCCTTTTGTGCTATTTTGTTTTTATTGTTTTTCTTTCTGCTAGACTCTCAGCCGGAGTTGTACCACCCAGGGAAGAAAGGTTGGTTTTTCAACGATGTTCCCTTTAAGACCTTCATTTCTTTTCACTGCCTCAGTGTGTTAGAAGTTCCATTTTATGTTTCATACCATTCCCTGGTTTTTCCATGTCCTCTTTCCAATGCGGCTGCCAGGGTAGCCTCCATTGCTGGCCCACTGGCTGGACGCCTGGCGTTTGGAACAGTGGTTCCTATCATGCTTGTTGTGTAGCCATCTCAGCCTTCCTTTTGAGATGTGGAGAATATGGAGCAACAAAATAGATGTTCAGTCCTTTCAGTCTGGGCAGACCTTTTAAAGTGTATCCATTTTAAATTGCTTATGAATTGCTAGTTTATAGAAAAGTATACTTTATATTTTGTCAGGTATAAAATCTTTTGCTCTTCTTTTTTTTCTCTGCTGCTCTTACTTAGTATCCTTCTTTTTAGATACTGCTTACCCGTTGTCATCCCATTTTGTCTCATATCCCTGAATTACAGCATTCCTCAAAGCATTAGAAGCTGATGGGGGTGGGGTACACACTTAACCAAAACTGCAAACTTGATCTCATATTATCACATAAATTTCCTTGTGAGTCAGGTTTTCTCATAGATTAGCAGTTGAAGAATTCTTGGACAAGAAGGAGGAACCAAGACTTTAACCTAGTTCCTTCTATATTCAGAGCCCATGTTCAGTTACATCAGGGTCAGTGTCAGCTGCTGAACTCCCCCAGCTGTTGGTGGCCCACAGTCTAGAGTCGCAGTGAATTTAGGCCAAGATTCTGCCTGTCTGTTCTATACCCACTCTTGACTCTGGCACGCTGATAGGAAAGAAGCCACATTCTGAGCTATCCCCCAGTTTGACCTTGGAGTATAAATATGAATGTAATATTCTAAAATCACTTCTGTGTGATTGCATTTTAAAAACTTTATGTAACTGCTTTTTAAAAATTGTCCCACCTGTGTGTGCCTCCTGTTGTATGAACATCACTGTGTTAACATTCCTCTGGATACAAATTTGAAATGTTTATAAGTAAAAAGAAATTCTCTAGAAATTTGACTTTAACATTTAGATATACACTTCAGCTGTTCTTAATTGAAATACTTTAACTCTTAACTAACTTCTTAGATTTGTCTATCCATTCCATAAAACCAAAATTTTTTTGGTCAATATTTAATAAACACATAGGTTATACCACCAAACGAATATCACAATAGTCTGGAATAATATAGAACTTTTAACTAGTTGGCTCAGTGACATATTATTTAGTTTTTAGGATCCTGTATATGACCTTTAACATTCCGAGAAAGCAAGAAAAAGAAGTATCTTGGAATTAGGATTTATTAGGCTTGATCCTGAATACGTTGCTAAAGCATTACCATTCTCTGTTCCTCCTTCTTAAGTGACTGGAGTTGAAAATGCAAAAAAAACACAGCTGTTTTCTGGCATTTTGAAATGGTAAAAGCCATCCATAGTTTAACTTACCACAGAGGCAAACCTGAAATTCTTCTTTAAAAGAAAACACTTGAGGGGCCATTATGAGTTGATGCAGTATACATTGCCAGCCTGCTAGCATGGCCTCTGGTAAGTTTCAGTGCTCTGTATTGAGAATCAGCTGAGATGCAAACTGGAGAGCTGTGCTGGATGGAGTACAATGAGTTTGTCTTGGACAGTCCCACAAATGGCTGTGTGTTGCATTATACATGTTTCTGTCTTATGCCTTTACCTCAGCATGCTAATTATATGGTAAAGTTTATCTGTTTATAAAAGGTCCAAACAAACGTTATGTAAAAATTGATAAAGACTTCTATGTGCTTGTCACTATTAATGAGCAAGAAGTCACATGCTTCAGAGTTAACAATAAATATTACCCTTCCTGTTTGCTCTCACTGGAAATGTGCTGGGCCCAGCCAGGCCTGCAGTTTGGATGTCATCAGTACAGGATGTGATGACAATTGGCTGTGACTGGCCTTGATGAGAACAGCTTATGTGTAGGGAAATTGCCTTTCATCCTGTGTTAGCACTCTCCCAGGTTATAGAATGCTTCCTCCTTTGCTTATTGTGTAATAAGCATTCAGCTTATAAAGAAAACTCATCATTAGAAATTAATGCCTCCTGAGGGAATTAGGAGCTTGAAGAACAGATAGAGGGACTTGAGGTAGAGGAGGGTATTCAGGCAGGATAAAATATGATGCTCAAGACAATTTGTTTATTTATTTATTTATTGCTGGTCTAAGTTTATTTACCCATCCAGAAGAAACTGAAAGTTGTTGCAGTAGTAAGATGTGTGGTTGATAGGTGATAATTATATGTCTCTCCATACTGGAATGCCTTCTTCTTATAACAAGCATACATTTCTGGAGTCCATTTTCCCAGTGGGCAGCAAGTCCACACTCCTGTCCATTAAGCCTATTGGTTTGGAGAGTGCCCATATCATCCATGCTTGCACACTAGGGTGGCCCAGGAGCCTAGTGAGGAGCCTCCTGGGGCCTCCAGAGTCCATGCATCTGCTGTTTCCATGACGTTGATGCAACATCTCAGCCCATCTTTATAAACTCAGATATGATTTGGTATCTGTCTCCACAGGATCTGGAGTGGGCGAAAAAGATGGAGGACTGATTGGTGCTGAGGAGAAAGTGATTAACAATAAGAATAAAGTGGATGAGAATATGGTGAGCACCTTGTGTCTACCATGCACATATTCCTTTTGTTACTGGGTGGTGTTGGATGCATACCTTTGTTGTTTTCTTTTAATTTTTGTTCTATGTTGGTATGCTTACAAAGTCCATGTATTCACATACTTCCATACAGCCTCCATGTGATGTGGTAGGAAATTAAGGACAAACTGCTCCCACAGGTTAGCTGTGTTGTTTGAAATCTGGCTATAAGGACGAATAAAAAAACTACAGCAGTTGCTATTTCTTGATGTCTAGAAGGAAAATATCTTGTAACTCAAGATATGAATACAATATTAGGCCGTTTTGGAAACTTAGTCTAAGGGGTAGTTACACTGTGTCCGCTCTTCCTCAGTGGAAAGAAGGTAGAGATAGACTAGGTTGAAAGTGAAATAGAATTATGTTTAGTTCTGTTACTGCCTTGGGTTTACACCTCTTCTTACGCATCTAAAGGACCTTTAGTGGCAAAATGGTTAAAAAGGCTTGGCTGCTAACTTAATCGTCAAGTGTTTAAACCTTCCACCTATCCCATGAGAATGACAGTCTGCTGTCAAAGGTGACACCTCTGGGGCCATTCTCCTCTGTCCTTTGGGGTCACTGTAAGTCAGAATTGACTCAGCAGTACCCAGCATTTTCTGCCCTTTGTAGTCCTGTATTATCTTCAGCTGAGTTTTCTATTTCATCTTGTCTTCTTTGGTATTCCATCCTGAAAGACCTCCCGCAGCAGTTTTCCTGATGAGCAAGGCTCAAGAGCCCTCCCAAGCCCAGCTGCTGCCCAGTCCCTTTGCCACCAGGGAGGCCCTGCAGTTAGGACTCTGGAGAGTTGTCATTGGTGCATTCATGCCCCACAGGTGTAAACTGTGAAAAAGAAGTACCTACATTTATACTCCATTTCCTCTTACATTGTCCTGTCTGTCCCAGGTCATTGATGAGACTCTGGATGTTAAGGAAGTGATCTTCAATGCTGGGAGAGTCGGAGGCCTTGAAGAAGAGCCAGTAGTACGTATTTGGTTCCAGAGTCAAATGCCAGATTTCATTCCTGTCCTAGCTGTTTCTCTTTTCTGCCTTCTCAGTTTAAATAGAAAATGAGGGAGATGCCTGTTAACTTAATGGAACCAAAGTTCCTGATCTCTCTTCTCCTATATTTCAAGTAAGAGAGCTAAAATGTAAATTTTCATGTTGTTTGGGTAGCGTAGCCATTTCCCCCGTGAAAGGTTATTGCTTCGTTTGACTTTAGAGACATACCTGAAAAGAGTCTCATTGTCATTGATCAATTTCTCTCTTCATGACTAAAGGTGTTAGCAGTGTACAAATGGCCCCTTCCATGAAGCTCTGCTCCACATCTGGTTTCTTGTAGGAATCAGTCGGACCGCTGCGTGAGGACTTCAGTCTGAGCAGTAGTGCACTCATTGGCCTGCTGGTCTTTGCAGTGGCCATTGCTACAGTCATCGTCATCAGCCTGG